GGCTTATCCCCAAGGGAATTAATGTAATGTTTGAGGAGGCGCTGATTAGGTGTTTATCAAAACTTACCTCCCCCATCTTTCTAATTTTGAATTGTTTTTTGCAACGCCCAAGTTTTTTTACGATGAATACTCCCACGCTTATTGGAACTAACAGTTTTTTGAACTCCAACGAATTACGAATAAGGTTGTACCATTTTGTGAATAAATAGGTTGCACAATTTTAGGCAAAACATTTGGTTACATTATAATTTTTACTTGTTTGTACATTTGAGCCGAATACCCTTACATCCCTTCCTTACTTTTGAGAATACAAACAGTGACATGGATTCATATCTGCTCAAATATTCGAAAGCCATTTAAGATGCTAGTTGCTCAGAAAGTCTTAAAATGGTGCCGACTTTGATATTTATCTCTCAGAAGACTGAGTAGCTGGTAACTACCTTTTCGGGAATTTGTTTGGAGTTTAAAAAATGTTTGTATATAATCTGAGGAGGAATAGTGGAATACTAGTAAAGTTTGCTCACTGACATTAGCGTGGCATTTAGTTTGCTAAATATACGTCACTGGGAACTTCTTAGCGACCATAGACACTATTAGCAGTTGGAATATTTATTATTTCTCTAGGCAAAAGGACAACTATCGACTACTTTTCTCGTCTCATTGCCTCTAGTCAAAAGAACCAGAAAATTTAACTGACAAAATATTTTTAAATGTTTATAATGACACCCAAATTATGCCCCTGAAATCTGACCTGGTCTGATTCCCGTTATCTTACAGGCAGCTCTAATATCCTGCAAAGGCGAAGGACCGGTTATTAATGTTGAGGATGATATCATTGACTGGGGCAAGGTTCCTACTCTAACTCCTAGTCCGCGAAGTCTACTAGTGACCAACGAATCTCCAATAATAGCCCACGTCTCGGTGATAATCGTAAGTATCAGTTGATCTAACCTTAACACTGGGCCTTTGCCGGCTTTTTCTTCGTTAAAACTATTAAAATACGACTAGTATTTCAAAAAATAAACCTAGGATTTCGTCATAGAAGTGCAGTAAGCACCCAAGTCTTACTCGTTTCACTTATTCAACATCAACTGCAGGGGAATTCTTGGTGCAACGAGGTCTTTTGCTCTAGAACATATCACGAATGCAGCCTTTAAAACGTATTGACAGAGCTTGTATTGTTTGCTGAAATTAAAACAGCTGCCTGACAGAATACAGGAGAAACGTACGGGTTTCATGCAACCCTTTTTCACCCTACTCATCTCAGACCCGATATCTAAAGAAGTTACCAGGAACCTTATCATTATAATAAACCTTTAGGCCCTGGAGCAACGGTACATTTTATAACCCCACCTCGCAACCAGTAAAAACAAGCTCGTGTAAAACGGAAGTGGTGGTGATATGGGTTTTCACGGGTGTAAAAAAATGGTAAGTAGTATGAAAATTTAGAGATAGATATAAGGATAGTCGTAAATAAGGAACGTGGTGTTACAGTTGCTTACTTCAATTTGTGAAGCACAGCGCATTTGGAAACGCGGTGGGTCGTAACAAATGTGTCAGGAAGCGTTTAGTGAAGCGCTAACAACTGCAAAGCCAATAATTTCCCGAAACCGTAATCAATCGAAATTGCCATTAATAAATTAATGATTCAATCAGTTAATGATTCAACAAATGAACGTAACGTGATTTAATTATGAAGAATTATAGAAATTGGTTTTTTAATCCCAAGAGCCAACTTTACCGGGTTATCCTAAGCAATTGCCATTATTACTCAGCATAATAAACTGGACAATAGCGCGTATTCCATAAACACTTTAACATTTCCTTAAAGGCGAATCATAAATCAGAAGGTTTCCCCCCGCAGTCTCATACAATATCATATAGCCGACGATCCTTAGAGTACGCGTTGTATAGTGAGTAACGAAAGGGCACAAAAGAACTAATTAAGTCTCAGCGTACGCGTTCGAAAACAGAAACCGTTTAGAAATTTCGTGATACACAGAAAAGGAAAATTCTCATAGCTTTATGATACCGAACAAGACGAGGCCTACTAAAACGACTTTAGTAGGCGGATATGTATATTTAACCCAGTTGGGCTACACAACCTATCTTTACCACCGGTATATTCTTGCAATACGTTTTCAAGATTCTTTTTGACCCATCTCAAGTATGCATAAGGTAAAAGGAGAATGAACAGGCGACCGCATCGTTTGCTTTAATGATCTGCTATAGGATTATAGGCAGAAATTTATAATTCACCTAAAGCCTGCTGTTGTAGCAGAGTTCTGCTTCATACAAGGCC